CAGCAACTGTTTGGTTACCAACATTCTTCAAAATATCTTCTTTTAAAGAATGCTTGTAATTCTGAAAATTCTAATAATTATATAACTAACTCAAGGCCTAATACTAAACTCTCTTCATATTTTTACACATGAAATGAACAGATTTCTGATGAACTCTTTCTTTCTTTTTTTTATGTGGAGCCAGTTCAATGACGTTCTGTTGTACAGCACTCGAGGGATAACATCAGCCAATCAGTTTACAGTGCACAGACAACTTCCTCTGCGCGGCATGACAGTTAGAAAACTCATCAACCTTTATGCAGATGTTATTGATTGGCATGAGAATCCACCCATGAGAAATCTCTGTCTGTGTGTGTGTGTGTGTGTGTGTGTGTGTTCAGATCCGGGAGAGTGAGGACGAGTGGGGCGTCCCGCACTCCTTCACACTGATGGTACAGCAGCAGTCACTGGTGGTCGCCGCATGGTAATCATTCGCAATATCTGTGTGTCATCAGCCAGACAGCAAGTACAACAATAGAGACTGAGCAAGTCAACAGTGCATTCATTTGAACTCTGCCCATTGTTTACACACAGCACATTTTCAATTGATCGGTCCAGTACAGCTTTTTCAGTGGATGCAAGAGTGTTAGAGGTGCATATATGATGGATGCCTCAAAAACATTCAGGTCTCTTGTCTCTTGCAGTTCAGAGTCAGAAATGGAGAAATGGATGGAGGATTTAAAGATGGCGGTTGACATGGCTGAAGAGTGTAATGGACTGACCGCTGACCTGCTGTCTGCTAGCAAGGATGTTAGTAAGTGACACATGATCATTTGTTACAAAATACAGTTACCATAGCATTAAAATAGACCCTGTTTGCGTTCTTAGTACATCTTTATCAAAATATAATATTTCGCTCCACCTCTAAAATGACTTTCCTTTTTGGCAATTTGTCATGATCCAATTAATTTTCACAGAGTAAAATTAAGTCCTGCCATGCATTTTTTTGCATATTAAATATCAAATTTCGCTTTGAAATAAGTACATTATAAAAGTAAAATGAGTTGCTGTTTCATGAATCTATATTTGTTTTATGATATATATTGTCACATTTTAGAAGTACATTTTAGCATATTTTAAAAAGAGTACTTCTTGTGGCAATAATGTACTTAAAAGAATATACTTAAAGGGACAGTTCACCCCAAAATGAAAATTCTGTCATTAATT